CATCACTTTTATGTCTTAAAGGAAACACCCACAAGTAATGAGAAAAATCATCTAACAACAACATATAGAATTTAAAACCAGTAATACTTGGCACAGGGGATTGCCATAAGTCTGTATGCAAAAGTTGAAACGGAAAATAAGAAACACGACTAGAAGAGTAAAATGGGAGGCGCACATGCTTTCCCAACTGACACGCATGACAAAGAGTTTGTTGATAATTTGTAAATAAAGGAAAATTGTGAGGGACTCCACGAAGAACTGCGGGACTCGAGTGGCCAAGACGACGATGCCAGGTTTGATGATTATGGACGAAACATGAGCTTGGGCAGGTGCTGGTTCGCTGACAGGGTAGAGGGGACCCACATTATTGGACCGATGCATCATGGTCCCCTTCTGACGATCCTTCACAGAAAAACCATGAGCATCAAATTCAACAGTGCAGTTGTTATCACGAGTGAGTTGGCGGACAGAGATAAGATTGTGTGTGATATGAGGGGAAATTAAGACATTGTGTAAGGAAAGGGGAGGGGTGGTGGGGAGGGTGTGATTACCAACCGCCGTAGTGCGAACTTTAGATCCATTACCAACAGTGATATAGTGAGGTGAATATAAAACTTGAGAAGAGACATGAGAAAGAGTATCCCACCTGGATTGGAGGCAATATAGTGAGGTTCATGGTATCAGAGCCTAACTAAAACCCTAAAATATCTTCCCTAGTTTCGGCCCTCCCCTTACGCCGAACCAACACCTGCGCCGCCGTCTCCCTTCTCCTCTCTTCACGGCCGGCAGCCTCCTCCCCCTTCTACAATGGCTGAAAGTGAAATCACCTCTCAATCCTCCACCCAAAAATCTCCACATCTGGCCTTCTCCGTCTCCATTGTCAAACTCCATGTTCCAATCCAACTCAGCTTTTCTCAACCGAACTACAAAAAGTGGATCCGCTTGTTCCTTCTTCTTGCACGGCGGTTCAACCTTCAGGGTTATCTCAACGGCTCTATTGCTCCCATCTCCGACGACGACGATGAATGGTTTCAGCTCGACGCCATCCTCCAGGGCTGGATTCTCTCCACCATCACTGATGAAGTTTCTGATCTAATTATTTCCTTTGTTTCTACTGCTTCTGCTCTCTGGACGGTGATTCATGACCTGTTTCACGATAACAAACATGCTCGGGCCATGCAACTCGAGCATCAATTTCGCACCACCGTCAAAGGCTCTACTCCCATGGCTATGTATTGCCAAGAGCTCAGGAATATTGCGGATTGGTTGGACGATGTTGATGCTCCCGTATCCGAACACCAATTGGTTCTCCCGTTGCTGCGAGGACTCCCCGACGACCTACAGGCACAAACCTCGTTTCTCCAGTTCCAGGATCCCCTGCCGAGTTTCATAGTCATAATTATCCAGGATATAGTTATCCTCATTATACAATAATATGATCATAATTTAGCAAATCATAAATTCACTATCAAATCTATCATATGGTTCATCATGTTCATAATCACAATATTTTAGTACTCCCTCCATCTCTGAGTATTTGTTCACTTTTGACTTTTTTTGGTCAAAATTGGTAAACTTTGACCTCAAATTAAATAAAAATGACATTAGATAAGGATAAAAAAATAGCTTTATTAGATTTATCATATCAAATATTTTTAAAAAATTATTTTATTCCATTGATATACAACATATATTTTATTTAATTATAGGTCAAAGATAAAAATATTTGATTGAAAAGTCAAAACTGAAAGAATACTAAAGGACGGAAGTAGTACATTCTTAGCATCGATATAAATTCACAATCACATATTAACAAATAGCCGTTTAGCATTGGGTGTTAACACCCTAGCTTACCGTCATGCAATAAAAAAAGTTTTAGAATTAATAAAAAAATTGTTTTTCATTGCGTATTGGTATCCGAAGTGGACTATCATTTAACGGTACCAAATTGTCGTTCGTCGCTTAGGATTTCATAATTTGAGCTAGATTTGGCATGTAACACTAGTGTGCTAGCACCTCGTGGTAGTGCACTACCTCCACATGGTAGTGCATTACCGCCACCACATGCTCCGTTCTAAGATGAATAGTACTTCATCTTCTTACACGGTCCAAAGTTCGTAGTGGACATTTTTTGTCATAAAACTTATTTTAAATTATTCTTAGATGTTCTTTAACACGTATAGATCATTCTGGGCAATCAATTTATAGGTTTAACAACAAAATCAAGCTTTGTGATCATGAGTTCATCAAGAAATATTTTCAAGTTATTCTAATACATAATTCAATCAAATGATCGTTTATGAACATAGAATTAATCTATATCCACATTCTTGTCACTAGATATAGAAGTTTATCTCAAGCTCGAACGAAAAAACACCAATCAAACAGTAAAACTTTTGGTAACCATCATGACTATCTCCGGCAATTTCAATGGAAGTGATGTATCGTGGCCTGCTCTTTTAACTCTCAGCTAACTCTCAAAACAAGAATGAATGAAAATGGTGAAGAGATGAATGAGAAGGGGTATCCTTATATAGCCAAAGAAGAGGAGAGAGTCGTGTGAAGTTCCTGCGATTTCCTCGGTGATATGCGTCGATCCGCACCGAAAGTGGAGGGGGCTACCACTACAAGAATTTGTCTCGTCTGCAACGGAAATCTGCTACAGACTCATTTCCGTAGCAGATCTGCAACGAATCAGCGACGGATTTGAAATCGTTGAAAAAGAAACATTATCTGCGACGGACTATATTTATCCGTCGCAGATTAGCGACGAAATATTTGTGCCTGTCGCAAATTTAAGTTGGTCAATTTTTGACCTGATAACCTGCGACGGAAGTGTATATCCGTCGCAGATCCGTCGCAGCTTTTTTTATAATAATCGAGGTTGAAATTTTCCCAGCCATTCGTCTTTCACTTCAACCCTATCCCGTCTCTCTCCCGGTTACTGCGAACGCCACTCCTCCGCCAGCCTTCAACGCCCTTCCTCGCCGCCGACGAACGTTCTCGCCAGCCCTCCTGCCACGCCGTCCCGCCCATCCGCGCCAGCCAGGCCGTCTTCCCCAGCCGCGCCGTCATCTCCAGCCGCGCCACCTGCGCTGCCCACCAGCCGTCGCCACTCGTCGTTGACGCCGCTACACGCCAGCCGTTTCTCTTCCCCGCCGGACATCCTCTGCATCTTTGCCGTAGGTATTTGTGTTTAATTTAATTTTTGGTGAAATTGAATTTCTTTGTGTGAAATTGAGTGTATTTTTGGTGAAATTTACTTAAATTGTGTATATATGAGATGAAATTGACATGAAATTGGGTAAAAATTGCTTTACTTTTTGGTGAAAATTTTAATTAAAATTGTGTTAGTAAATTTGACATTTATTGTGAATTTAGGTAAACTTTAGTTGAATTATGTGAAATTTAGTGTATAATATGTTCAAATCTATAGTTAAATTAGTGTTGTGTGTGGTTTAATCAAATTGTCGTTTGTTAGCCGTCTTTATTGTAGCTATGGTTTGTTGGTAATAAATGTCATTGATATTCTTGGCTAAATGATTGTTGTTTGTTGCCTTTCAATTATCAGGCGTTTCTAGAATGAGTCCATTCGAAAATCGTGAGTTGATGTATAAGAAATATGAGAGAGAAGGTGTTGTTAGTCAAGAATGGGTGGACAACGTGGTTGAGTTTGTAGAGTACTGTGAGTCAAGTCCCAATGTAGATAGGTTGGATAACAAGAAAATGCGATGTCCTTGCAAGAAATGTAAGAACATCAAGTTTTGCTCATCAAAGATTATGCTGGAGCACATTTTGCGGTTTGAGTTCACACCCAATTACTTTGATTGGGTATGTCACGGAGAGAATCATGGTGACTACGTACCTCCACAACGATGTAAAGTCCCTCGTCAAGATGATGCCTCAGATGTATCACATGTCCCGGGTAGAGAACAGTTTGTACACATGATTTATGAATCGCTATGTACAAGTAAAGGAACCCAACTCGATTGAAAAAGAAGAAGATGGATCCTCGGCCACTTCAGCAGTTGAAGAAGGTAAATTATAAGTTTGGAGCATATGTTTGGAGCATATGTGTATAAATCGTTATGTACAAGTAATGTTTATGAAATATACAACTATAGGTTTGGGAAGAGGATCCGGAGTTCTTGGAGTTGAGTAAGACGAAGAAGAAGAATAGAAGAAAGGGAAAAGAGGATGGTCCTGCTCTTGGGACTTATTGCGGAGGTTCAATTCCATTTTCTGAAAATATGAATAGATTGGTAAGATATATTTTATAAAATAATAGCTTTGCACTTGTTATTCAGTGGACACTAAATTTAAAATGTAATGGAAATGTTCATTGAAACTTGAAGGCTAAGAAGAAAAGGGCGCCTGTGCAGTTGGATGAGGTTATCATCCACACAAAGACAAAGAAGCACGATGGAAAGACTTGGGTGGATCCGGGACATGCTGAGCTACAGGTACTTTCCACAATTTGCAAAATAGTTTGGGTTCATGCTGATAATGTTGTTGTTTTTGTCTTTAAGCTTCTAAAGGGTGATAATGTAGTTGCTTTCTTGTGTAATTTTATTGTTTTGGTTGACGTTATTCTTACTGTTTATGTTATTGTTAATTGTGTTATTATTATTGTTGTTACATTGATGGTGTTGTTGTTGACATATGACACTATTTTTGTTGTTGCGTTCATGGTGTTGTTGTAGGGTTGACACTACTTTTGTTGTTGTTGTCATATGACATTGTTTTTGTTGTTGCGTTGATGGTGTTGTTGTTGTCATTTGACAATGACTTATGTTGCTTGATGTCGTTCATGTTGTTATTGCTGTTCTTGACACGCTATTATAGTTACGTTGTTATTGTGTGTTATTAAGTATCATATATTGCAGTCACAATTCTTCGAACTGCGCGAGGAGGCTAGACAAAATGGACTTAAAGTCACCGACGAAGAAATATGGTACTCGCTAGTCGAGGGCTATAACGCAAAGATTCGTGTTCCTGGAGTTGGTGACTACGCACGGGAAATGAAGAAGATCAATCCGTCCTCCAAACCTCGCCGTTCCAGCACTAGCAGCAGCAGCGCAGCGGAGATGGCAGCCCTTAAAGAGCAAAACCAAAGGCTGCAGGAACAACTTGATAATCTAACCTCAAGCTTGTCGCTGACGATTCAGGAGGAAATAAGGAAGTTATATGGTGGTAATCTTCCTCCACGAGGCAATGACGATGGAATGGGAGGGGCAGGACAGCCCGGGATTTGTTGACATCTTTGACATTTGAAACAAGCACTTTAATATTTCGTGTTTTTACAAGATTATGAATTATGTTACATTTGCACGTGAAGGATTAATTAATCTCGTTTTGAATTATGTATTTCGTATTGAAATTTTGTTTAGAATTATGCGTGTGAAATTTGAATGTGTTGCCCCTACAACTCCCTAACAACAGAAAAAAGCTGGTGGTTGTATGCTAAGGGAATTCTTGTTGCTCCGTTTTGTCGCGTATCTGCGACGGACACCTCATCGCTAATTCCGTCGCAGATCTGCTACGGTTTAAACACTTCCGTCGCAGATTTTAGGGGTGCGAAACGCGAAGGTGCCCGTCGACGAGGTGGAGTCGCAACGAACCCGCCTGAAAATTGAAATACGGGAAATATGAGCAGGGAGAAGACAACAAAAGCCGTCGACGAGGTGGAAGAGCTGCTGCGAGCCGCCGCAGACGAAACCCTCCTCCAGCTCAGCGTCGATGCACACACTACCCGAGGATCATCCACCCAATTCATAGCCCCTGATCTTGACAGACGCTTTCAAGCCCTAAAAACCCGACCGAAGAGCTCATCAATCCCTAATAAACATCCAAAGACGTCTGCTCCAACGGCCTCACTAGTCACTGATAATGTAAATTGCCACAGAACAGTTGGTGATGGTGGCGATGAGAATGATCTGTTTGCTAGGTTTGCTGCGCTCAAGAGCTCCCTCCCTTCCTATTCTTCCTCGGCTGGTAGTGGTTGCAACCCCAGGTTGGGAAGGGTAGAATTGGAAAATGTCGAAGACGAGGATGAGGACGATCAAGTTGAGAAGCTGATCAAGTGGGCTGTTGATGCCGCGAGGCTTGATCCTTCTCCTCCTTCTGATACAGATTATGAAGACGATGATGATAACTCTGATAGCCATAGCGAAGATGAAGATAATGACGGCACCAAAAGGCAGCAGAAACGGAAATGATCATGAAATGTATGTCTATAAGTTTACTTTGAATTGAAATCTGCTATTATGTATCTGTGTGGGTTTTAATTGATTTTATAGTTCACGTATTCACTTCATTTTGCATTATTCCAATGCATTTAATGGCTCCAAATGCATTATACTTCACGCTCCAAAAAGAATCCAGGAGTTTATTGAACTTTGTATGTGAGGGCTTGCAGATGTCATTAATAGCATGGGGCACAAAGTGCAAAGAAGCACTCGCCTGACTTATGTTTCTATGCGAGTTTTGATTGATTTAATTTTGTATTCAATTCATTGCGGATTATCTTTAATTGCATTTTAGGGATACTACGGTATGAGTTTATTTTAATTCTAGTAGTAATTTTCATTGCCTGTTAGCGGTGGTTGTGATTGAGGCATTGCACATTCTTTTTCATTGGTTTTGGTCTTTTTGAAAGCAGGAACCTTCAGCCCTTCTAAACTGTATATAATTTGGTAAAGGATATGATATACTTCATGCTAAAGGATCGGTGAGTTGCACACTAGAATAGTCAGATCACAGACCGTTACAATGTTTCAGAGCTGATTTAAGAAACTTTAAATTGTCAGGCTGCCTGTTAATTTTCGCAAAAAAGATTATGAAAGAAATGGAATGGCTCCATTTTGTAGTTCTAATTTACTGAGCAATATGCATATTTTTTGCAAGTCTTCTCCAACTTCTTTGTATAAAAAATAACGACCTTTTTTCTTTCGTAAATATCTTTTTTTTTTTTAAAATGCCCTTATAAGTAATATCACACCAGAATCGCTGCTTGAAGCTGAATTGGGATGGTTTGGTTATGTTCTGAAGAGAAGCATGGATGTTTCTGTGAGGAAGCATGAGAGGCATGCATCGGGGGACGTTAAGAAGGATAGAGGTCGACTTATGAAGAGTTGGAAAGAGGTTATCAGTCATGACTTACATTTTTAGGGTCTAACCAACGGTGTGACCTAAGATAGGAGTGTGTGGATGCCTAGGATAGGGGTGGTAGGATAGGCTCTTGGGTTAGTGGTCTAACCAACGGTGTGACCTTAGTTTGTTCCTCGTAATTAGCCAAGAATCCCTTTTGCTTCAAGACATGAATGGGTTGGGACTTCAAGAGGTTTCTCAGACTTATCTTGTGGGGCTATTTAAGGGCAACATCCTCCAGGCTACTCATGCCAACAGAGTGAGTATCATGCCCAAGGACATGCAGTTTGCTAGGTTAGTCAAAGTGATAGGGCTTAGGTGAGTCTGGCATCTTGGGTGCATATCTGTTCTGCTAGTATGTTGTGAATCAATGATGTTTATACTCTGATTAACTTGTGTTTTCAACTCCCTGTTAGCAGATCATATTGTTTTAATATATGGGCATATGACTTGGTTACTGAGCTATTTATGTTTTGTCGGCTTCATATTCTGGACTTTCGGCAGGACTGCTATAGATTGCCGTTGGCTGTGAAGGTTGTAGAGCTGCTTCAAAACCTTGATGTATGAAGCCTTTGTACCTTTTTGTTCAGAGGAAAATGTTATGTTTATTTTTCCCTGTTAAAAAAATGTAAGAGTTTGTGCATGTATTTGTTCACAGTATCTCCAAACTGTAAATAATGGTGAAGAATGAAACTCATAATCCCTACAACATGTAGGATCATGTATATACTACATTGAATTGAATACTGCCACATCAATGTAGTAATCTTACCGGCAGTATAATAATTAATCTGATGATAGCAGCCACTGCATGAGGGGTGAGGGTAAAACAAGGATATGTTTTTGCTATTGGGTGAAGAGGATGATACATTTTAACACAAAATGTGCCAGCATTGGTGTTTTGTGTTAAAAAAATGTCTCTAAATAGGAGTAAAATCTCGTCAAAATAGAAGTGATATTATTTTTGTCTCTTAAATAAGAGTTTGGCCATGTGAATAGTAGCAGTGTGTTGAGACTGATGAAGTATATAATTGAACCATTCCAGGATAATTTCAATATTTTGAGGTTACCATAATCCCAAATTTTGCAACCAGTGGCCTTTGTGGTCTCATAGGCTCCTCCAATGTTTAATTGCATTGCTACTTATCCTTAAATTACATATCTGGGAGGTTGGGCTCTTTTACATTAATTTTATTTTTTTTCGTTGTTGGAATTGTAATACGAAATGTGGCATTGTACGGGGGCAAATCACAATATTTCTTGGCATTTTATCTTCATTTAATCATTATACATTGATGTGTTTGGCAGTATGCAATAACAAATTTGTCATATTTGCCATTGCAATTTCGGCTGGCATTGTATTAAGAGCCACTCTGGCACCATGTCACTGCAACGACAATAGTGACTGACCTTGGTAGTGTCGGTGGCAACAACAACGTAGATGGCGGCAGCACCTAGTGGCGATGGTAGCGAGAGATTGTGGCGGTGGACAATGGGGACATCAATATAAATTTTGTGTGGCAATATCTGTTGTCATTTTTTGATATCATGTCTTTATTTGACACTAGGAACAATTAATAGAAAACTGTGGCGGCGGCAATTGTTATAAAACGGAGAAGTAAGTGGACGACACAATTCAAGAAAATCGATTACTGATGATTTTAACGGGAACAATGGTGATGCTTTTTTTTTAATATAAAATTGATTATTTATTATTATTAATAAAAATTTAATAACAATACAAAATTTTATTATCTGGTGGTTGCTTCCGCCATTTACAATTGACTCCCTATTTCTTTTTATCTCCTCATGTTGATGGAAGTATATTTACCCCTCCAAAGTATATTTACAACTTATCATATACCTCTCCCATTAGAAATGAATTTTTATAGAAAAAGGGGTAAATATGGTAGTTGGAACCCTTTGCCTTCTCTTATACCTTTCCCATTGGAGTTGCTATACGTCCCCAAAAACATTCATACTTCATTTACTATTAAAGTATGCTCATGTTTGGTTAGAGAGGAAAAGAAAAGTAGAAGGAAAAGAAAATGATAAGCTAGAATAAACATGATTCCTTTCATTTTGGTGAGGAAAAGGAGAGAAATCATTTTCTTTTCCTTTCCTTCCTTATCCCTTGAACCAAACATAATGTAAATGTCACTGCAAACACTATCAATCTACACCAGCATTTTGTGCTAGGGTGAGTGTACAAAATGGGATATAGTTGACAGGGGTACAAATAGCATTATTCATTACGCACATTTCTGAACCACCTCAAGGGTTTGTAAAAAAAATATAACAGGATCATGATTTAAAATTAAACTGCAACAGAAAAAATTTTCTTGAACAATCTGTCAAATGCTCTGCTAAATATCAACTCAAACAGACAAGAGGAAATGGAAAATTTATTAATGAATTTACAAATTGAATTCCTATGAAATTACATAGGCCCCAACAATGACCTGCAAATTTCAAATCACTCATCTACCCCATCAAAGATTTTAATCTTCCTCTAAACAACCAAAACATGGGAAATGAACAAACAGCAGAGGGATGACTTCAGTGGCACATACTCCATAATAATTAATTACTACCAAAATTACCCGTAGCAGGCAGATATATCTTGCTGAGGGTGCAGCACTCCGGGGACGCTTAACCACACTTTTCTACTTCAATAAATATCATAAGCGTGGCCGAGTAATGGAGACTTACAATCCTGAAAATATAAATCAAAGCCATCGACATTATAAAAAACTAAAATATCAGAAGTGAACAAAATGTCTTTACAATGCACTGCATCCCATCTTTAGACATTCTTTGGTTGGAGTGGAAGTAAAACTAAAAGGGCAATTATCCATTTACCAGTTCGCTTGAAGAAAATAATTGGACAGAATTCAAAGAGAGTATATAAAAATAGCAAGACAACCTTTTCTACAATGAAGTTACTCTGAGAGAACTTGAGAAAATGGATATATTTAGTTGAATTCCTTCTCAGGTGAAAAGAAAATGAGAAAACAGTGTTTCTGATAAAACAGTGTTTCTGAGACTTCAAGACTCAAAATCAGAATAAGAGAATTTGTGTTGTGTTGAAGTTGATGTATTCAAGAGTTAACAGTGTTTCTGATGTATGTAAAAAGAATATCACACTAAAAACAAGTTGATAAACTTAATCCATTTTCAGAATAATAGGGTAAGCTGCTTCTAAATTAAACTGTTTCCTAACCCTAACCACTTCAAGAAGTTCTGCAAACAGCTAAAAATCTGATCCTTCTAAAACTAAAAACAACCACCTTCTAAACCACCTCTTAACTCATTTCACAGTATGTGTACCTCAATGTCATTAGAGCAGTAATTATTACTAGTATTTTTTTGAACACATGTAGTAATTATTGATAACATTGGTATAAAGAACTCAAACTCATACTCACATATAGATGTGACCTAACGGAATTCATCATGGTACTCTTCATAGTCATCATCTTCATCTTCATTGAAAATTGCACTATAGAATACATATGGGTTGTCAATCATCTCAGACAAAGTCAGACGCCCATCTTTGTCAGAGTCAGCCTGTGGACATTGTGTGTACATAAATTGAGACAAAGATCTTTGGTACATTGTTTTGTAGTGTATATGAGTGCAGAAAGCACATAAGGAACATGTACATGTTATGCAAAAGACAATCATGAATGCAAGGTAAAAAAACAAAATAGAGTTGAAATAGAATTAGAGAGCCTTTTTATAAAGCTTTTGGCAAGATTTACGAGAAAAGGATATGCCCTCTAAGATAACATGTTACAAGATAGATGCTCCCTTCTTTCTCTTTCTTCAAAAGATTTCTTTGACTTGTATGAAACAGCTTTGTTTGTTTTCGGGAAGAAAAAAGGGCTTTTTTCAGGGTTTGCCTGAACTTTTATGGAAATTGAATGCTCTTTTTGTGTATGATATATTTATTCTACTTTAATGTATTAAACAAACATTTTTACATAAAACTAATTTTGTTTCCACCCAAAATAAGAAAATCCCAAGCAAGTTTTTTTGCAATCAAACAAAGCAACAAATGTCATTTTTAACATGGACAGTTAAACTGGATTCGCTTTCACATAGCATGGAGGCTAATATGATAAGTAACGCTGAAAGATTTACAGAACATGTTTTGTTCTTCAAGTAAAAGCTTCTAATTTTTTTATACAAAAAATAGGTGCTACATCTTCTATGAGTTTAAATATTGCAAGATATTGACACATAAAATATGCTGCAAATTCAGAGGATATTATATTGAAGACTGATGAGCACCACTATGTATACTCTATCCATATTGAGCATATAATATAATTAGATACATGTGAAACTTTGTATAACAGCTAAAAATAAGGTAGCAAATGTGTCATCCAATTTTATTTAAGACAATATGTTCCCAGAAGGCCAGAACTAATCTGCAATCAAACTACGTGACCTGCAAAACGTTGCTAAGGAATGACACATTAGGACTTCCATGTTTTTATTCCCGAAATAGGACTACATTACCAAATATAGTCATATACATTACCAAAAAAGTATAGTAATTTGCACATGTACACTGCCACATTACCACAATGCAAAGTCACATTACCACAGTGCAAAGTCCTATTCCGGGAAAAAAAACATGAAAGTCCTATTTTGGTACTTTTCTCTATGTTTTAGTCCTATTTAGGATGATTTCTAAACAAACAATTGGTAAATAATTGACACTCATCAAATCATGAAGACCTTTTAGTTCAAAATAGATCTGACAAACAGGTCATTTGAGTTGGTTCCACGTTAGGTGAGGTTCGGATCAGGTGACAGATGGAGTAACGAATTTCGGATTGAATTCAAGTTTGGTTTGGGCAACATTTGGGTCATTGTTTGTTTGGGTTTGATTCCAATTAAAATTGAGTTAGGTCATGTTAGGGTGAAGTTTAGTCGTGTCTGTTTGCGTTCGGGTGGGGTCAATGTCTGTTTGGGTGGATTTTGGATAAAACTTTAGGTCAACTCTGGGTCGACTAAAAGTTGTGTTGGGTTAAAGTCTGATGAGGTTATTTTGGGTTAAATTTGAGTCGGGTATGTGCTAAATTGGGTGATTAAATTTAGATTGGGGCATTATAGGGTTTGATTAGAACTCAGATCTGTTTTTTAGGTTTGACGATGTGAATTGAAGGATACATTGGATAAACTATTCATATTAATTCAATGGTCATGACTTCATCAGAACCAATAGAAACAAATGTTCGATCCTTTCTAGTGTTATCATCACAATTTACAAATGTGTGATTCTTTTTATCCAAGCCTACATTTGACTCCGAGTTTAAAAGACGAACAAACTAATTTAGACAAATTTGGATTGTTACTTAAATATTTCATACAACTCAATTGAACACGTCATATGATCTATAAATCCCCTTGGTTATGAATTAGTTTACATCTTGATGTACGAATAGCTTTTTCGTTAGATATTTTCTTCCATTAGTTTCACATTACAGTCCACAAAATTTCTACTTCATAGATTTTAAAAGAATTAAACTCTGTAAATGTATTGGTAGTTTTATTCTTGTTGGGTAGACTTGGTTCGAGGCAAACTTAAATTCCGGTTGTGTCAGGTTCGGGTCATTTGTGTTTGTGTTGCAATCAGTTTTGGGTTGGATTTGGTTCGATTTGGTTTATTTCAGGTTCATTTTAAAATTGGGTCAATTAGGTCTCGAGTCACTTATGATTTGGATCTGAGTCATTTTGGTTCGTGTTTGGGCTTCAATGAAGATTCACATTCAACTCAACTAAGTTTCAAGTGTTTGTTTGCACTTAATGAAAAATATTGATATAAGAAATATCCTCTTAAATAGGACAATATATCTTTTCACTTGTCCACAAACAAGTGAAACAACTACCTGTTGTATGATGTAATCAGCTTGTTGCTTAGCATAGTAACGCTCTGATGGATGAAGCTTTCCAATTATAGGTAGTAATTCCACGTCAGACAGATATCTACAATGTGGATAGGGCAAATGTATTTGTTCATTATATTAATATTAGATAAATCATTAAAAAAAACTCTTAAAGTAGGATATAAAGGTGATCACCCATCGCCATCTTTATCAAGTTCATGAAACAACTTTTTTGCTGGAGTGCTTTCCGACTCTTCGGAATGGTGTGAAGTGTTGTGACCATCCTCATCATAGCTCCTTACCAAGTCAAAGAGCCCATGGAAAAATTCATTGAAGTTAACTTTTCCATCTTTGTCACTATCTCTCTCCCTGACATTAATGCATGCAAAGAAACATATCTCCGTAAACAGAAAACAACAAGAACATGTAGAAATTACAGAAAAAATTGTGAAAGTACAAGCTTTGTTTGGCAATCAGCTGCATTTTTGCATTAGCACCAAGTGGTTTACATTAACTCTTTGGCATTAACATTGATATATGCATTATTTCAATTTTGTTTAGAAGAAATTAAAGAAAGAGAAATATTTTAGTCAGTGCTTGAGAGGAGATGACGGCTGATATGCCTGTAAAATACAAAGAGTAACAAATCTAAAGTTACTTTAGCTCATTTGATAGGCTCCTTACGAAACACTAAAATAATTGTTCACATGGTCAAACTGTTATTTCAGAATGAAAATGCCAAAAGTTCACCAAAGGGCTATGTACAAACATGGTCATACATTAAAACAAGCTCATTCAACTGGCAAAAACTTGAGCTGGTCATTACAAGTTGTTACCAGAATGGACAAATAACACATTTTCCCACAAATAGTAACACCTTTGAGTTAACCTCGACTATTGTTCAAGTATTGGAAAGACAATCCAGGTCTAGAACTCATAAATTTTATGCAATTAAGCATGGTCCACTCTTTCACTATAAGAGGATAAGAGCACTGTATTACACTAGAAATTATCAACTTATTAAGTAAAATTTATATCAATGAAAACAGCCAACAGGTTTGGTATTTAAGATGGTATCAGAAACTCTAGAGTTGGTCTAAGATTTGATCAAAATCTGCATTTTGGCCTACGGTTCCTGATTTATAGTAGCAGTGCTATGTATTGTCAATTTGACACATCTACGATCATTTTTTGAGGAAACAAACCATATCAATGCTCTTGAACTCTCATGACCTTGAGTGTAAACTCCTGATGCCAAAAACCTTCACCCCNTTTAATGAGTTTTTCTCAATTTCTTTATAAAGAACAATGGTTATTACTTATTAGTGAGTTAGTTTCAAATAGACATCTTAGGCTACGAAGTACAAACCATGTAAACCAAAAGATCCATGTTCATAAATGAGCTAAAATTATAGATCGGCATGGGTGAATATGGAGGGTTTTCAAACTAAGCCAGAATAAGATTTTCAAAAGAGATGTGATACCCAAATGTGTAGTTTACTATGGAAATCAATTTCACAAGAATTAATACTACTAATTATCATCCCTACAACACATCTTTGCATGGAACCTGCCATGATTCTATACAGGAACAAAATCATTCATTTTTATGGGTAGTTTGATGTAGAGTAAATGTTTAACTTAACAAGATCATGGATGCAAATGGAGAAATAATTCAAGTATAGATAACTCATGATAGGATATAAAAATCTCATGCCTACTGACTGATCAACAACTTGAGTATTTGGTGGTGGCTATTATTTCTAAAGCTCAAGTTAGGATATGAAATTGTCCAAAACAAAATGTGTAGTACTTTGAGTGAACAGTGCCAGACAAGCCTCAAATACAAAAAGGCAATCACAAACCAACAAATCATAAACTCCAATCTCGTGGTGGTTGTGATATAGACAACAGTAATAATGGAAAATGGGAGGCCAAGGTAGAGGACTAGCTATGTCATGTTTGTGTGATTTTATACATGACTCTGGCATGCACACAAATACTGTTGGCCCTTACATAGATACCCCACTACATAAAATTATGTCCAATGTCATAATTTATTATCAGGGTATACATAAAATCAGATACAAAAAGTGCATGGTAGACCACAGACCCACTGCAAATCCGCAACAAAAACAGTTCAAAGCAAGAAAAGAGGACTCCGTTTTTCATGTCATCTGAGGAGTTTCTACAACTTATGGGTTTGGTCTAACTAGTGTTGTCATTGATACTGTACATCTGCTACCATTTTTTAGTCCAAGTCAAACCAACGATGGACTGTTTCCAAGAAAAAGTAAAGATCCATTAGAACAAGTTAGATGAAGTCGAAATGAAAGTTAACCTATGTTCAAGTCCAACCTCTAGTTCAACCATCCAAAAAACAACACAGAAGTCAAAATGAAAGTTAACGTATGTTCAAGTCCAGCCTCTAGTTCAACCATCCAAACAACAACAAACACAGAACAGGTTTAGGTCAGTTAAATTAAAGTTTCAAGTTCAAGCTTCCAGATTTGGTTAAACTAATCTTTCTTAGTTAGCTTCAAACAAATTTTATAAGCTACAGCTAGAGGGAGAGGTTAATGTATGACAAGTCTAAACCAAAACTTAGAAACCCTAGAGTTCAATCATTAGTTTTAGAAGCATCATTTCTCAATACAACCATTTTATTAAGCTCTAGAAATTATCAAGTTTCAAATAAAGTATATGTAAGTAAAAATAGTCTTGATATTCAATAATTCCTATTTCCTATGTATATAGATGTATAATGAGGGTATTCGTCTATGCTTCTGCTTTTGGAAAAGTAATTATTTTGAACATAGGATCCAAAAGCATCTTTGAGTTCGCCTTCTGCTTCTGCTATTCTACATAGGAGTATATATCTCGACTAGCAAGAATCAATTACCAAAAAGCATAGTCAAACACAAATTACTTCTGTTTAACTCAGAAGCTAAAAATCAATCACCAAAGGCAATGTCAAACACCCTAAATGTATTGAAGAGCTTTCATTTTAATAACTAAAGAAAATTCATTTGTTGAGTGGAAATTTCGAAAAAAAATGATAGAGACAGGTTTGCTTTAAATAAATATTGCACCTAATCTCTTCCTTGCACAACCATAGTAGTAGCTTTGGGTTGGTGGTGTCCGCAGGGTGTAGAAAGCTGCAATATCACAACAAAGATTAAAACTATTGCACAGGTAGTAAGCAAAAGCAATAGGTGTGCTTGAAATTTAATTGCTTAAAATTAGTAATAAGCAGGCACATACTTCCTTTTGGTTTGTGGAGTTTAAACTGCTTGAAATAAGCATTAAGCGAATCTTAAGTTAGTTTATCAAACACCAAAATTGTAAAAGCAACTTTAATAAGCAATAAGCAGACTTTTATGTTTTCTGAAACACTTGCACTATAAAATAAAAATTGCTTACTGTATCCCTCCCCTTATTCTGCCGCTCCTTCAAGTAAAACATGGTTTAAAGTAGAAACTTACTCATTGAATTCAATGACATTCAATAGACCATCACCATCCGTATCTGATGCATTAAAGTGCTCTTCTTTCCACCAGCCCATTTCATACCCGACTGAATTGCTTTCTGGTGTATGACACATTTTCAAAATACAATGCAAACTTCATCAAGTTAACAGTGGTATATAACATCATAATTACTAAATGAGAAAAATGAAAACAGGAGTGTTGTCTTATCAAAGTTGATCAAGCAATATCCATCCTACTTTTTTAAATACAAAACCCTAAGAATTGGCAGGGAATATAAACAGTACTGCCCACTTTCATGCAGAAATGAGAGGATATGATCAATGTGAAAATTTTGGAAAACAAATCATCAATAAAATAAATTAACTAGAAGTTCAATGCCAGGAAAAGGGGCAAGAGAACATTTTGAATAACCTTCACGTACCTTTATATGGTTATTATTAATATGCTCTAATCTTCAAGAGTTGCATACTAACAAGTTACGTGCATTGAGTTTGTATAATCATTCACAACTGACTACCATCATTCTAAAATGGAGCATAAAGATTGGTATTTTCAGGTCTTTCATCAGGTTGTAAAAAAAACAAGCACCTTTTGTCCGCTCCCAGCACATGCATTGACTTATACAATGGAGATTTTTTTTTTGCAAAGAAAGATTTTTTAAAGGACATACTAGTATAAAGTATAAAAAGCTTGCTCTTGACCAATATCTAGTTTTATGCTACTAGCTTTGTACTATTTCAAATTATCTTATGGCTTGTTCGGCATCTTAAAATTGGATTTAAAATTCATATTTGACCCAAATCACATGTTTGGGAATCCTAAAAAATTGGGTTTGGATTTGGACCAAATTCCTCTAATTCCCAACAAAGATCCATTGCAAATCCATTCACTCTCCCTTTTAATTTAAAACCCAAGAATTCGAATTTTAGACTTGAAATCCAAGAATTCAAATGAATTCTTAGCAAATTCAAAAGGAATTTCAAGAACATCTACCCAAAAAACAAGCAGACATCTAGGAAAAGAAAACAAACAAATGTTGTGGTAAAGAGCCTTCCTTTTGAAAGAATTGACTGGATTGATCAGATGAAATAACTGAACTCACCTGATTTCTGCACCCAAGAGGGGGGTTCGTACTCGGAGAACGAGACGTAACCATCGTGATTCTTGTCATGAACCTCCATCTCCCTCTCGGACCTGTGCAGCACCTCCTTCCTGCTTTGCTCCGTGTTCCACTCAGTCAACTCGTGCTCACTCACTAACCCATCCCGGGGATCCACATCGATCTTGGGGAACAGAAGGACAAGCCGATTCGTCACATTGAACTTCTCCTCATCGTTGAGATAATCCTCGGCGTCCATGAAGTCCTCCCACTCCGGCTGCCCTTCCTCGCCGGGGGCATGTTCCACATGAGTCTTCAGCTCGGGGTGGTGAGACTCTATGTACATCTTCTCCCATTCCTTGTCCTCTCGCTTGCGCTCGATGTCGGCAACGAGCGGGTCGAACGGGATGCGATGGTGGCCGCCGCCGTCGGCGGTGGGCGGAGAGAAGGTGAAGTTGGAGCGGAGCTTGAGGCGACGGTGGCGGTGTGCCTTGTTGCCCTTCTTGGGAGAATGGGAGACGAGGAGCAGGAGGAGGACGGCGATTGTGATGTAGATGATGACAGAAGCTTTACCCATCTCCCAATCTACACATCTACTGCAAATGTTGGATGCAAGTAAAAAGATGGAGATTTATATCTACGTACCTCTATAATTCTCAAATTAAGTCACAGCACATTTGAGCCAAAGGACTTGCGTTCAGATCCATTTTAGTTAGAATTCAAATGTCTTTTAATCATAGCACATACTCTGTATTTGTTCTTGATCAAAAAAAAGTTCAGAAATTCATCATAGCACATATTTATTCTTGATAAAAAAATTTGAGTTTTATTCAATTGATTTTGGATTGTACGTCTAATTAATCAATGTGTAAGTATTAACACGGCTCTCAAACAAATTCATGTCATTTACGTATTTTCTCAATACAAAATTGATATTAAAATGTTTAAAAAAAGTAATACAAATTGTGGGTTACATACATAAACAAACATCAAAATATATTGTATAAATTATTTTACAAAATATAAAATTTCAAAAGTATAGCATTCATTTCAATGTCTATTATTTTTTCTAACATTTTTTAACTCATTCTTATTTTTTTCAACTCATTTTAATTTCTTACAACTCCTTGAGTTTCTTGCAAGACTTTGTAATTTTTTTTAATTCTTTCAAAATTTCTTACCACTTCTCCTAGTTTCCTTTAATTCTTCATTGTTTTTCTTACTTTTTTCTATTTGAATTTCTACTCTTTTCTAACACCCAACCATGTTTCTTTTATGAGCTTGGTCTCTTCATCTAATATGATTTGATCTAATCTATATTTATTAAGGTTTGGTCCAATTTGATATGAGATAGATATTGTCTTTAAAATAAGAGCTTCATATTTTCATCCTAAAGTAGGAGTTTGCATTCTGACAATGTCACGTGTATATTGGTATTTTAAATTACTTTTTGGTATTACATATTAATATCATTAACATTGTAACTATTATTTTAGAAATAAAGATAGACCATGCTAGGGTGCCACCACATGGGTGCTACCATGGATGCACCCATGATAGCATCCATGTGGTGGCATCCTTGCATTTTCCAATAAAAATATAACGCTTCTATGTTTATAATTTCTCTATGTTTTTACTTTTAGTTTATTGTTTTCTTCTAAAATAAAATTTTAGTGTTATTAGCACGATTACAATGTAGTATTGCGCATATAAATCATATAGATTGTGCTTAATTTAAAGGGCTAAATATATTTTAGCCCGTAAAATAGACAATTTTTTATTTTTGGTCTTTGTAATTTTTTTTGTTTAAGTCATTCTTACCAAATTTTTTAGTTTGAAAATAGTTCTTAAACATTATTAGTAGTTCTTATTAGTTTAGGTAATACATTCATCTCATACTCAACTTCTGGTCTTGCATTACAAATTTACGTCTTATATCATTCACATGTCCTAAATTGTATTCTTATTCGTAGATGGATCAAAAATAAAAGTTTCCTATTTTACAACAAAAAATTGATGTGAGTTATTTCTTTCTTAAAAATATAATTCCGAATACTATGATAGATATTTTGTGTATTTTATATGAATTAAAAAATATATCTAACCATAGTTAAAAACCCGGAGTAAAAAAATTAAAAGGTGCAAAGCAAGGTGCTAAACCTGTTTAGCGATGAAATGAGGACCTATATGAAATTCCCTTCTTTCGATCGTTACTTCTCAGTTTTCACGTTTCCTTCCAAGCTCTGCGTTCGGACCTGGATGATCTTTCTCCTCTCTGTTACTTTTATCTCTTCTTCTCTCCCGACCTGTAACGGTTTCTCCTCCTCCTCCTCCTTCTTCTTCTTAATACCGATCAGCAGGCTGAAAATGTTTTGATAAATCACAGAATTTTGATAGAAGTACAAGGATTTTGAAAACCATGGTGGCCTCGGCTTCAAGGTCCGATGGATTGGAGGAGACTTCTCCTGACTTGTTGAAGAATACGCCATCGAATATAAGGAGGCTAGCAGATGAGATTGAGCAGTGCGAGGGTAGGAAGAAGTACCTTGCTCAGACAGCAAGTCCATCCGACGGCGGTGATGTCAGGTGGTACTTCTGCAAGGTTTCTTTAGCATTAAATGGTTAGTTCTTGCCCAATTTTGAGTGTTCAGTAAGATTGCATTGTTGAAATTCTAATTTGTGTTTCTTAGGGTCAAAATGGTTTTTGTTTGTTAGGTTCAGATATGAAGGTTTTGCATGCTATTGATAATGTAATGGAAAGATTCATGTTAGTACTCCAAGAAATTAAAATCATCTCTGGTGCTCAAGGAATTTACCTTTTTTATTTTTAAAGAATAATAGTCTAAGATTACAGATTGATCACACATACTCATAAAAAATGAAGGTACCGTGTAAAATGAAAATTTTCATGAAGTATTATTGTAAAGATATTTGAACTCTCGGAGTATAGGCTATATTCATTTGATCTTGAGGTATTCTTTTAAAATATCAAATTTCAGGGAGTATTGATATGAATTTTTCTATTGTAATTTCGTGGGCTTTTTACTTTATAGATTTAGGTTTCCGAAAACTTAATGAGATGATCTAAAGAGAAAGATGAGGTTCATGCCTAACCCCTAACCCTTGGAGTTTTAGCCCCATAGTGTTTCTGTATTCTAACCAAACAAAAATAAATATTGGAGAAAAGGAAAGGATGTTTAGAAATGTTAAGCCATGAAATGCTTTCTTCAAATTTTCATAAATGTGCACGTGTTTTTGAACAACTCGGAGGGATTCATTCCTCAGACATAATTAGGCTAAAAAAATATTTTCCTGGAAAAACTTACATCCATCATTTGTTAGCAGAACCTGCTGCTGCTGTTCCTCGCACACCAATAGTTGGGCACGGTGATTATTTTAGATTTGGCATGAGAGATTCTCTAGCTATTGAAGCTTCATTTTTGCAGGTACTTTCATGTAATTATACACTCTTATTTCTCAAAAGAATGCAATTTTGCTGGTCAGCTTTCTGTGATGCATTTATCAATAACTTTATACTTTGGGAAACATATCACATAAAAGTCAAGTGAGAATAATGTGAGAAGGAACACCTTTCGTAATAAGCTTTTCCCAAGGGATAGTTGACCTAAAGTAATGGATATTCATTAATTTCAATGCAGAGCGAAGAAGAGTTGCTGTCTTCATGGTGGAGAGAGTATGCAGAGTGTAGTGAAGGCCCAAGCAAACAGCCTAGTAAACTAAGTTCAATGTTAATCGAATCTTTTCTCGAAAACTCTGAGTCAACAAAACTATATGCAGCAGAAGAAGAGAGAGTGGGTGTTCCGGTAAAGGGTGGTTTGTATGAGGTAATCAACCTGCTTGCTACCTTTGAAGACTTGTTTAATTGCAATCTGCATCTGATTTTATTATAGTATCAATTTGAATATAGGGATTAGTGCAGGGTTGTTTTGAAGATATGAGCAAAGAGAAATAGTTGATATAGGTCTATGGATGCTCTAATTGTAAAGAATGACTACATGCCTGTTTTAGGATTTTCGTGACTGAGGAGTAGACAACAAATATCAATATGCATTATAGAAAATGACTTGCAAGTTGGCATGATTAACAGACATGGAAAAGTCTTGTAGAAATACATCACTTCCACCAACAACCTAGTAACTCTCCGCAAGTAGAAATCTAACTCATATTGGCCAATTTAACTAGATTGGAAGGTTGGTAATACTTCTACCCAAATCCCAATAAGCAGGAAAGCATGTCCCAACTCGCTGAAAAAATCTTTAGCAAAGATAAGCTCTTTGGCTCTTTGCCTGTTGTGTCTACTCTCTCTTTAGCAACTTTCATGTGTAATGATTCATAGTAGCTCACTGTAATGGAATGATCTATTATGAAGGAATAAGGTTCTAGCATTATAAATGGGCCATGAACATTAATAATCCACCAATATATTTACACTGCAAACGGTATTTGATCCCTTAGCCATGCATTGTAAATCTGCAAGCTAAGGTAATCCTTGATTAAATACGCAGAATATAATCTTTGATTAATCATATTTTGTACAATATAAACCAAAATCCCCTTAATCTTAATTTTGACTATCAGTTGAGTTATTGTAACAACCTCTCCACTTTTGAGTAGAGGCAAGGTCGGAATACACACACCTTCCCCATCCCCATACCCTACTCTCGTGAGATCCAGCTGGGTTGTTATTGTGTGTTGAGTTATTGTTGGTGTATGTTTGGCGTAATTCAATTAGAAGAAAAAAGTAGGAAATTTGCTTCATTGTTCTTTTGGAAGTCCAATGTGGAACCTTCTTTTAGAGTACAATTATAACTCTTGTTGAGTAACTTAATTATTACTAGGATATGGTTTATCTTTTCTCTTGAAGTGATGCATTAAGTTCTATGATAGTCTTTTAGATCTAAAACCTATCATCTCACCCCCAAACCAATGTGAAATGGTATAAATGAACACCAGAAAATTTATAAATATTAATGGTGTGCTACTGCAGGTAGATTTGGCAAACAGACACTGTTTTCCTGTGTACTGGAATGGAGAAAACCGGCGTGTATTGAGAGGTCATTGGTTTGCGTGTAAGGGAGGTCTTGATTGGCTTCCGCTCCGGGAAGATTTTTCTGAGCAATTGGAGTATGCATACCGCTGTAAGGTATGTTTGTAGGAATGTAGTCTTTGATGTTTTCACTTGATACTGTAAAAATTAGTATATTCAGATGGAATTGATTGATAGTTTGGAAATGCATACTTCAATGTTATTCATTACAATTATTTGAACACTTATACCTAAGCATGTCGTAATTGTTACTCGAAACTAGCATAACAATTATTTACGAGTATATTCTTAGTGGAACTGGCCTAAGGATGCCACACACACCTCACTGTTTGAGATTGCACGCACTTGAATGCTGTCTCATTGCAATTATTTAGAAATTATTCCCAAGCATGCTATTGAAAAAGGTTGTAACCAAGGCCCAACCTAAGCCTGCCTAAATTAAAGTAACATAGACAAAGATCTAAAAAAAGAATAAATAAGAGAATAAATTATAGGCTCATGTAAAAAGTGCAATAAAAGAAGTAACCTCTGCATAGAAGTGAGTAAAAATAATTAGTTCTCATAAGTTATTCACACCTACATTTAATTCATTAACAACACACAAAACAACAACTGGGACTTGATTTCATTTTTGTTTACATCAAACACTTTTGCTTTACAACAACAAACCGAGTAAATTCCCACAAGAAGTAGGGCCTAGGACTCTGGGGAGGGTGCGTACGCAGACCTTACCCCTACTGTGAAGTCAAACACTTTTTCTTTAAGTTTCAAAATCTATTTCATTCTTTCCAGGTTTCAAAATTCATTCTATTCCAACCCTATTTTGGTCTTGGCTAAAGTAAGTTGGCAAAATGTAGAGTTAAGGAGAAGGTGGGTTCTTCTTGGCAAAACTAAGTGGAAAAAATGTAGAGTTAGGGAAAGCAACAGCACACTCATTTCCCAATGAGATCAGAGGGGAAAAATGAAGAGTTTCAGAAAAAGGAAAACTTTTGGGGTGGAAGAATTCCTCCTTTCCAACTGTTAATCTTTAAAAGGAGATTCTATTTTAATATATTAGGTACTTCGTATCCTTTTAGAAATTTGGGTGGAATGGTTGACCGCTTAAAATAACCACCGCTCAATGGCCCCCTACCCAAGCACATTCAGATAATGCAAAGCCTGAGTTTTATCCTTCTGCTGATGTTTTTATGCTAATATAGTTAATATAGACTCTTTCAGTAATTTTTTTCCTCTTTATGCTTATCATAATGGCAATTTAAAAGATTGATGAATTTTGGTTGCATGCAAATAGGTTTGGCACCGCAGAAGCTTTCAACCATCTGGACTCTATGCGGCTCGAGTTGATCTTCAAGGCTTTTCTCCAGTATGTCATAATTGTCGTTCATGGAGTATCTAACCGTGTGTATTTTGATAGCTTTGTGTACTGATTGATATGTTCTATGTGTGAAGGGATTACATGCCCTCTTTACAGGAGAAGATGATACATGGGAAGGGTGGCTGAATTTTGATGCATCTGGTTTATCAAGCATTTTTCGTTTTGGAGGGAAAAACATCAAGTTAAGACGTGGATATGCCCCATCACAGTCTATGAAACCCACCCAAGTTGTTCCCTTTATCTCTATTTTTTGATGAAATATATGTGTACTCTCAAATACTTCTCATAATCTCATCTTGATTATACATTTTAAAATTGTTTTCCTTAGGCTTAGGCATTGTAGATATTTTCTTTATCCCATTATAATTTTTCATTTTTTAAAATCTTAGTCAATCCCATAATAATGTCCACTTTTCTAATTGTTTTTTCCCCATATGCTTTTAAGTAACGTGCATTTTATTTGTTTCTTGCAAGATTGTGCCAAATGCAAATGTCTCTTATTCGGCTATTTCCAAATGAGGAATTATATTGCATGAAAATAATAAATGGATTTGAATGTGTTCAAGGAAATGAAATATAATATGCTCAAGGTCCAATTACAAATGGTTCCTATATTTATTCCTAAGAAACATATATTTTTTTCATATAGATTTAGTCTCATCATTTGAATAAATTAAGGTTAGAAACAAGATTCGGATAGTAGATTAAAGATGAAAGTTATTATTGGAGGTAAGAACATTTACATATCTCTTTTTCATCCAAAACTTTGAAGTCCTCTATAGAAGGTAAAAGCTGTACACTCTTATTCTTTAACTTTTTTTGTTTTTGTTTTTGGTATTGACCCTTTTTTTAGTGCCTTCACTAATTAATCTAGGTTCCCAATCTAAGTGAATCCATATTTCTTTTCCTTAGCATGTCACTTATGGTTGGATAATTTTTTATTAAATGCAATTACGGTCTTAACAGTTATGAGTTTTATATCTGGTACATTGAGTTGACTTTGTAACACCAAAATGGATGGCTATGCTTTTGCACGTATGAAACTGCAAAATCATTCTCATCTCAACTCTTTTTGTTGCTCTTAGGATGAGTTACGTCAGAAGAGGGAGGAGGAAATGGATGATTATTGTTCACAGGTATGGTTGAGTGAATATTATGTGCTTATAGGTGTCATGTCATTCATCATATGTTCAATCGCGAAAGATCATGTACTGTACAGTCTAGAGAAAATTATGAGGGCTATATAGTTTTTTGCTCAACATTTCTTAACATGACATAAATATAAAAAGTTCACGTAGTATTTAAATAATACATTCACCAATGAGTGTTCCAGTTGGAATATCATGGAACATGTTCATTGCCACTTTTTTTCTTCAAATTCTCGTCACTTATCATTTCAGTGCTAGATAGGGGAACATGTAAAAGGTGTTCTCCAAAGGACGGAAGATAGGTACATTGGATTCTATTTTGCATTTTGGAAAAAAAGAGGTCAAATTCAGTTTTGCTATCCAACTATCTAATTTACCAGAAAACAGAATTCCAAAGGTTGACATACTCTCCTGTTTCCATAGCTTTTTATAGTCTTTCCTGACATCGTACCATATCATATTATTGATTAATAGAGCACGTAGTGCACTGTTTCAGTGAAGACCGTAGTTTAATATTAACTACTTTACATCTTCCTGTTGTTGCTTAGCAATTTCAGTGTGTGAATCAATGAATCTGTCTCATAGTTTATGCAAATGTCTTGCACTTTACACATTTTAAAGATGATTTTGATTATGAGTGAACATAATTTGAGTTTGCTTTAAAAGCGCACAATCGAATGAATAGTTCTATTGTAGGTACCAGTTCGTCATTTAGTATTCATGGTGCATGGGATTGGGCAGAGGCTGGAGAAATCTAACCTTGTGGATGATGTTGGAGATTTCCGTCATGTTACAGCAAGCCTTGCTGAAAGGCACTTAAGTGTATACCAACTTAGCAAACAACGAGTCATCTATATTCCATGTCAAGTAAACTTCCTTTTCATATTTTTTTTATTGTTCTTGTTTCATATGCTATTCGTCACTATATCCTCTGATTTTACTTTCATACACATTAGAATATCACTTATTGATACTTTTTCCTAATCTTGCTTTAACTTTATGTGATTTTTTTCTGCTTTTTATTCATCTGGAGTGGAGAGGAGGGAAAAGTGCCACATGATGCTTATGTAGGCAAAATTCGAACTCTCACATGATACATAATCATTTATGTAAGGAAAACTTCACATGAGTATTCAAATAAATGGGCAATCTTACGTCAATACTCCGAAATCCATTAATCAATGCCACTTCTCCAAAATGACTTAATTTTACATGTTACTCCGGGCTGCCAACTAAATACATGGAATTTTAAATGCTGAATGCGAAATTATCAAGTAAGAGTTTGCCACTAATTAAAAAAATAAAGAAAATACCTTAATTGTGTTATAACTAGACCGCTGCCCTGCTTGCTTAAAACAGAAATATTTAAATGAGTGCATATTTTAATCAAATAAATTCAAAAAGTGTTTCAGACAAAAAATGACAAAAATATTAAAGGATTTTGGAGTCAATATTTTATAATCAATTTATATTTGTTGATAGGTGTGGAAGAGATAAAACCAACATTATATCTTATGAAAGGATTTGAGTAATGGATTTAAAGTTATGATCATTTTAAAAGTATAAAAAAAGTGAAAAGTTATGATCATTTTAAAACATATCTGGTTAGACAATTATTTTTAAAAGTAAAATTAGAAAAATGAATCAAAGAAATTACATTTGAAAAGAAGAGATTGTACTCTGTATATACTCCCTCCGTCCCACTTGTTTCTTTACCCTTGTAATTTTTATTTGTCCCATTTGATTATTTACCCTTACTTTATTCCTTTCACTTTATATGAGATCAAACCAATACCCACCCTCAAATTTAAACCACCCCACTTTTTCCCTTTTACTTTATACCCACACCACCACTTTTTAATCATTATTCTTCTATACTTTTTGGTCGCATCAAAGGTCATTATTTTTCACCTTAAATACCGTAAAATTTTCTTTGTCAAGAACCAAGTGGGACGGAGGGAGTAATATCAAACTTCAATCCGTTTGTTTATAATTTCATTTTTATCATTTTGTCTTGCTAAATGTCAAACCAGTTCAGTTTTACTTTTCACTTAATGATCATAAATTTAAATTCGTAACTCAAATTTTTTTATAAGATGGTATGTTGGATTTATCTCTTTGAGACCTATCAAGTGTATATAAGTTTGATTATAAAGTATTAACTGTAAAGTACTCTAATATTTTATCTAGACAGTATTCACATTTTATATAATTTAAAATTTTAAATATACAAACATTTCAATTTTTTAGTTTTAAATAGGCTTGGTGGGAGGTCTATTTATAACACATTTAGGGTATTTTCTTTATTTTTAAAATTAGTTGTCCACTCATGCTCAATAGTTGTCGATTCATCATTTAAAATGCCATGTATTTAGCTTAGTTGGCAGCCCAGAGCAGCGGTGTAAAATCGAGTAATTTCTTGGAGCAGTGGCATCAATAATTGAATTTTGGAGTATTAGTGCAAACTTGCTCATTTCTTGGAGTATTTTTGTGAATTTTTCCTTTAGGTAATCATGTCTCTTTTACTTTGTAACCATCGCCAATGGTGCTAAAAGTAGTCATTATTGACAATGCTAAACCTCAGGGTAAAAAATAGTCTAAATCATATTGGCACATAGAACATCACTTGCTTTTTACTTTCTATGAAATTTTGGGTAGTACATGCAGCATTGCATCAAGGGCCTAAAGAAAACAGAGGTAAGGTTGCAGGCATCTTTACCAGTCAAATCCCAAGGGAGTAAGGATAATACTGGGTTTTGTTGTATATTTCTTTAGTGGATCCGTGTTGTATATTTCTTGTTTTTGTATAGTTCTTTTACAGTGTTGTATATTTCTTGTAATTGTTTATTTCTTTTACTGCATTGGCATCATTGCTGGATCTGTCATCTGTTTATCTCTTTTGAAATGTTATTTCCTTATCTCTGTATTGCCCACTTCATTTTTGATCATTGCAGTGGAGAAAAGGCTTAAAACTTAGTAGTGAGGGTGCAGTGGAGAAGTGCACATTAGATGGTGTCCGTGGGTTTCGTACAATGTTGAGTGCAACAGTACACGATGTATTATACTATATGAGCCCCATATACTGCCAGGCTATCATTGACTCGGTATTAAGTTCTGGTCTTTGATATTCTCTCCTTAAAATTTGTCAATTTTTAATCACATTTATTTTCTTTTTTCTTTGTTATTGTTGTAGATTCCGACATCTCTTAATATGGCCAATTTGGTCCTTCATATCTTTGAACCTATTAGCATTTACTAATTTGTTCTCATTTTGTGAACTAAGATACTATATCAACTACTTGGATCATGTTCCAGGATGTGCGTGTTGATTTTAGAATATCAACTTTGTAATAAGACATGACTATATCATCTATGATCTCTCTCAACCCATCTCTGTGATATAATATTTTTCATGAATGTGAAAAATAAACCTATGCCAATGATGCTCCTGGAATTTTTTTCTCATTATTTCTTTTGAAGAAGGCTGCAAGGAAGGCCACATTGCATGAAAGTGAAACCGTTTCTCTCTCTTTTGAATTTATAGTGTTAACCAATTCTTGAATATTAATTGATACTCTAAATTTTATGAAACTGACCTCAACATAGTTAGGATTAAGGTGGTCATGATGAAGTGAACTAAATTGCTACTGGCACATTGCTGTAAAATATTTGGATTGCTGTGACATCTGTTGCTAATAATTATGCCCTCTCAGGTTTCCAACCAATTAAATAGGTTGTATTTAAAGTTCATCAAGAGGAATCCTGGCTACGATGGAAAGGTATATGCAGGTGGAACACAAATATTTTTTGCTTTCTGTTATGAACACATTAGTGAACATAGAAGAAGATATTCATCCTTCTCCTGGAAGGAAGAGAGAGCAGTTTGCTACTAACTTTTTATAATTTGAGCCTACTGCTAAATGGAGCTAGACGAATTCAAAAGTGCTTTACTTTCGGGCACATAACAGACTAAATTACAATGTTACATTAAACTTTTCTTGCTTTTTTAACTTTCTATCATGTTTTGGGAAGTAAATGCAACAATGCATCTATGGTCTAACAGAAACAACCCTAGACCCCAATGGAGTTGGAATTACACTGGTTGTTGTTGTTGACTTCAACCATTCATGATTTTATAGTGATTGTGTAAGTCTAAATAGGCAAAGCCTTACAACCGACCTACCATAATTATACTAGGAATCATGATTCTTTATTTACCAATATTAACTAAAATAGAATATGACTACTAATACTCGAATAGTCTAATAGGAGACTAGTGATAAATCCCTTCAGGAAGATTAACTAAATTAGAATAAGACTACTATTAGGAAACTAATAATAATGATAAGAATAATAATAATGATGATAATAATGATAATAATAATAGTAATAACAACAACAACACCAATAATAATAATAGTACTAATAATAAATAATAAAAACAACGACGACAACAACAATAATAATATTAATGGTCTTATCACTTTCATATCATAGGGACTCTTTGGCAGTTAATGTTTGAAGCATATTCCGGTTATTCTCTTGTTGTAGGTTTCCATTTATGGTCATTCACTTGGGAGTGTTCTATCATATGATATTTTGTGCCACCAAAAGATATTGTCGTCTCCATTTCCTATGGAGTGGATGTACAAGGAAGAAAATGAGAAGAAACCGTCATGGCACGACACAAACATAGTATCTCTGGAACAGACTGCTGCCTCATTGAATGATGATTGTCTTTCTAGTGGCAGAAGCAAGAACATTCTGAATATTCTTAACAATGATAATGCCAATGTAGATCAATGTTCTTCAGAACTAGTGGAAGATAGTTCTGAATTCAGTTGTCATTCAATCACTCCACTTGCATTGTCAGAGTCAGATGAAGCTGATGTCAGCAATTTTAGTAACAAGATACCTAGTGATGGGATTGATTTAGGCTCCATTGAACGAGGCACGACTTGTGATGCTCAGTTAGCAGAATGCAGAGTTACTGGGTCTGATCTATCAAAAATTGGAGGCACAGAAAGTGATAAAGAAAAAACAATCAGATCACTGAGGGAAGAGGTTCTGAGACAAAATTAATATTATATCAATTTTCTTAAATGGCCTCTGCACTTATTTGCAGAATTTATGTCAAATAGCATTTTCATTGTATCAGATTGATTTGCTAACAGCCAAAATCAGAGAATTAGAATGTCAGCGTGTACCCCAAGGTACATGTTTAGTTCATTTCATTCATATCATACCTACATATATCTTCTGCTCTGCAAAAGAATTTTTGTTTATGTTGCTGTGTGTGTTGCTTTCTCATTCTGTGCATAAAACACACAGGGAATGATGAGAGCAAAACAGATAAAATGAATCCATATACACCTGCAAATGCAAATGTGTTGTCAGAGCGATGTGATTTACATAAGAATTTTACTCCTCACATAAAATACACGAAGTTGGCTTTCAAGGTAATTTTGAAGTTGTAGGTCTAGATAATTTTATAAATCAACCAAGTTGTTTCAATTTGCAGTTAGTTACAAATAGTAATTTTGCAATGCTATAGGGTAATTCTTTATGTTTACTTGATTGCATATCTAACAGCTGCATAACACGAAGTATAAGTTTTACATATTTATTTATATACCCTCATACATGTGTTCTTGTTTTTTTGTATTTGCCTTCTAAATTCTAATCTATTTCTGATTTTTGAGACTAGGTTGATACATTTTTTGCCGTCGGTTCTCCTCTTGGAGTTTTTCTTTCTCTCCGCAATGTTCGCATTGGAATTGGTAATTCCCTCAAATAATTCGCATTGAATAGATTTGCATGTATGTGTGGGTGCTTCATGTTTTAATGGGATTCAATCTTTTAATGGGGTTCAACCCAAGTGTCTTTTTGCCAATCCAATAACCCTTTCCTCATCCTAAATTCTTTCATGGTATCGGAGCCTGTTTTAGCCCATCTCATTTGTTAAGGTGTCCGTCTAGAAGTTCATTCCTAGCGACCCATTTGTCTTTAGCCCATGGAAAACGGTCTGTGGCCCATATAAGTCGTTTGTTTGTCTGAAAGTCTATGCCCAGCGATTCGTGGTCCTTTAGGTATAGGAACTTTCGAGCCATTCATTTCATGGGGAGTGGGAGTCCATTTGCAAGTGCCAAGTGGTCAACTAGTTAAATTCAAAATGGCCCTATTGTCCACTTGAGGGGGAGTGTTAACGAGTATCCCACATCGGAACTTAAAGAGAAAATAAATCGGTATATAAGCTCTTGAGTTGAACTAAGTAATTGATTGGATTCAATCTTTTAATGAGGTTCAGCCCAAGTGTCTTATTGCCAATCCGAGAACCCTTTCCCCATCCTAAATTCTTTCAAGCATATTCAACAACAACAACAACCCAGTTAAATCCCACAAGAGTAGTAGGGTCTGGGGAGGGTGTGTGTACGCAAACCTTACCCCTACTCGAAAGTAGAGAGGCTGTTTCCAAAGAGACCCCCGGCTCAACATCGAAAGTTGCATTGCTTGACTAACTGCTACTTCATTAATTAAAGAAGCGCAGACAGTTTAGAGATCCATTTTGATTTATTCCATCACACCCCAAAGCCAAAAAATGGTGAAATTTTGGCTCCATCTGAGATGATGGAAGTATATTCATGTTAACTATTTACTAGAGTATATTAACGCTTGTTTTAAAGTATTTTTTTTATTTGCTCTCTTTTATATGACAAGTGTCTACTCCTGTTCTATATGGTAGATTCTTATGCTTCATGTTAGGTTTCTATGTTGCGTGATTTTTTTTGCCCCGTAGACTCAAATTTTAACTACTGTTTTTAAAATTCTTTATGGGGTTTCTAGGCCAAGGGAAAACTTATTGGGAAGAAGAAAATATTAATGAAGAGATGCCAGCTTGTAGACAAATGTTCAACATATTTCACCCTTTTGATCCTGTGGCATACAGGTTTGGCTTGGATTTTTTTTGGTATGTGCGTGAAATCTTTAACATTGGAAAGCCAATAACCTGGAGCAATGCTTGCATTTTATCCAGAATAGAACCACTTGTTTGTAAAGAATATGTGAACAAACGACCAATCATTATTCCTTACCATAGAGGTGGAAAGCGACTTCATATTCAAATTCAGGTTAGCGTCACAGATTGTTTTCCTTCTCTCCTTTGTTATTCCCTTCTCACACACTGTCAACAGGAATTTACTGAAGGAGTGGCTTCAAGATCACATGCTCTTTTGAATCACATAAGCTCTGCAGGGGTGAGAAAAATTTGAATTTCGCTCACCATTAATTCAGTACTTCCTAGCTATTTCATCATTTGCACAGCTCAACAGTACATATTAGTAAGCTCAACTGGGTTACTTGCAATAAATACTGAATGAAGTTCGCTCGATATAAAAGAAATAGTTTTTAGGATAATGAGGAGGGGTTTTGCTTTCAAATGAACACAGTTTCCTGGTAAAGAGTATGATATTCATGTTGTGTAAAAGGCAGGGGGGAAATTCTAAATGAGTGAGGAAAAGATGTAAATTCATAATTGTTGGTTACTTGGATTCAGCAGACCTATTGGTTGAATATAGTACACCTTATCTAGCATAAAATCATCACATACTTAGTACCCCTCCAGCATGTAAAAGCATCATGCACACACAACATGCCACAAATACATAATCCACTTAGGGAAATGATGCAAGAAAGTGGGTCAATAAAGGGGGCAACAGCCAAGATAATATCACTATCCTAAGTTCGCAGGAATCGCAGTGCAATGCAACTCAGCTCCCCACATATGCTTAAATAATGATGTTAAATGAACTATACTTTTGGTATCTTGATGGAATGTGGTGCAATCTATTGCCAATTCTGTTAGTCCAGGTATATTTTTTGAGTTCGATTGCTGTAGTCGTGCATATCTTGCATTCTTTCTGTCCCACTATTTTTGGGACATGAGGGAGTGGCACAAGATTTAAGAAAAGTAGGATTTTGGGGTTGACATTTATCTTAAAAAGCAAGAAAATGTAAGATAAGGAGTGAATGTGAACCACACAAATATGACCACTCAGACCTCGACGGAGTTGGTATTGTAATGGGATGTTATTTAGTTGTCATTTCAAGGTTGAAAGCTTTTAAGTAATTGAATAGTATATCTGCCACCTCTGTTTTAGCTGATCCCATGAAATGCAATCATTACTTGTACCCTCCAGCCTAGTGCTCCACCAATACCCAGACACCATTGATTCCGTCTCCTTGAGTTTATTGCGATTAACTTAACTAGCTTTTGTTATGCTTCACCTTCCATCCGTTCATTTATCTCTGTATATTGTCCTTAATAATTTCAAAACCCTCCACTAAATAAGCCCTACAACTTATGCTAGTCCGGCTCCTCTGCGTTATTCTTCCTCATTGACTTGTTAAACTTGAGATATATATTCCGGTGTTTCATTGCTCACTTTCTTACTGAGAACAATTGCAGGTGTCTCATACTTCTCCTGTTCAGTAATTTTGTTCCATCTTTCCTATTTGGGTTTTTCCAAAATTTTGTTCCAATTACTTTTTTAGAAAATATTTTGTGGTACATATTGTTTCTCCCAGTCTCTCCTTTTAAAAAAATTAAACCATACAACTTTCATTTCATTAAAAAGCGTGTCAAGTCGAATTAGGACCTAAGTTGTGGGATAAAGGGAGTAATTAATTTCTAGGCCCGAGACCATAGAAACCTTTGTAACAGTTTTTAGAATACATTTATTTCTTAATGAAATAAATACTAATGTTTTTTGCTCATTGAATTAATATTTCCTTTCACAGTGTTTAACTAGTGACAACGTTTTTATTTCTTATGAGCTTAATTATTTTATGAAGTATTACATGGGGGAAAGCCAGATAGGATGTTTTTTTTGTCAGTTGGACTGGACATGTGTGAAACCTACAATAGAGTTGAGAGAATTTTCATTGAAAAGATTTTGCTTAACTTTGTGCTCCTTAAGTAGGTTAAGGTGCTCAAACTCTGTGAATCAAGAGAAATTACTGACGAGGAAGGTGACTGGAGCCTTGATTCTGTGCCCTTCCTGTTTATTTGTAATCAGTCCTTTCAAAACATCCAGATCTCCCCTCTGTTCTATTACTTTTTGCTTTTGTTGAATGGAAAATTTTCTTGCAGAAGGAACTCATGAAACTGAACTGAAAAGAGATAGGTCATATGGCTCAATAATGATGGAGAAATTGACTGGAAGTGAATATGGTCAAATCGATCATGTTTTGCAAGTATGCATATAGTATTCATACAAACTATCTGCAAATTTTTAATACATTTCTGAACTAATTGTTATTTGAGATTCCCGTTGTTTCTGTCAACATTGATGTTGATGCTTCTATGAAAATAGCTTGAATTTTACTGATCTAATGTCTAATTACCTGTTATGACATTCTTGCTTGCTGTGTTATATCGAGTTTTACGATGGTTTCATATTGCTCTTATATGGTCACCATTTAATGATTGTGTAAAACTGAAATACACCTAGAAATTTTTTGTTCCTTCTAAATCTTCTCAATCTCGCTACTTTTGGTTGATTCTTTGTATCTTGGCAGTAAGTTAGCACATGAGGATTGGAATTTTTAAAGCCTTTGTTTTATTGAGTGTGAATAGTTTCTCTTTTCTGTGTCCGAAGCAAAGTTGTCACACATTGTTCATATATATTAGCCAGAGATGAAATAAGTGAAAAATATGAGTATGTTGAACTATTAATTTATTAGAGATTTTAATCGTGAAATTTACTCCAGGTTTCAAATTGATACTACAAAACTCATACTACAAGAATAAATAAGGAAGTCCATGCTTCAAACCATTACAATTCTTTGCTATTATTTACTTTTTTGCTAAGAGGTGTCATGTCTGATCAAACAAATCTAAATTTCATGTAATTTTCTGAAAACATTATATTTGTACCTTACGAATATTATAAAACTCTATGTTTGTCTATCATGTTTTTAATGGGAAAAACGTAGTATTTTATCCCGTGGCCTGTGGTTATATATATATATATATATATATATATATATATATATATATTCTGGATTAGACTAATGTTATCTATGGCTATGGTTCATTAATTTTTAAAACAAAGCTCAATGAAAAACAGATTTACTGTCTCAGCCAAAACAGAGGATGCTAACTTGAAACAGTGAAAATGAGGATGCATTTATATCTTTAGTTATTAGCATGCTTTTGCATCTACAGCTGCTCGCCTTTTTTTAAGTTGTCTCCGTAATATGTGATTCTTGTTTGGTTTCTTAAATTTGATGTGATTAACCTTTGTTTGCAACCCAGGACAAAACATTTCGCCATCCTTACATATCTGCCATTGGATCACATACGTAAGTACTTATGTGCAATTTTACGTTTTTTTAAAAAGCAGAATATTTAAGGCAATGAATGTGGTTATGGAGGAAGAGATTTCTGTGATCATGTCCTTATGAAGTTGAGTAATGATAGAGTCACAAACAAACAGTTCACAAAATTCACAAACTTGCTTTTTTAACACTTTCCTAGAAATAAGATGTACTAAAATAATAAAAGATATTTTATTTTAAAATCCACAAAAAGTAAGTTTGTGAAGTTTGTAAACTATATGTTTGTGACTAGCATTTTCCTATGAAGTTTGCTTTCAAGGGATTATTTCATATATGTAAAATATTATTGCAGGAATTACTGGAGAGATCCTGATACTGCACTTTTCATCCTAAAACATTTATACCGGGACATTCCAGATGATCATTCACCAGCTGAGTCTCACGATAGTGACTCAAAACATGGGAGCAATGAAGGTTACAGGTACGATCCAAACGAAGAGGATGCTTATGAAGAAGAAACTCCCTTAACTTTTGCGGACAAAGTCTTTTTGGAGAGATTTAAACGTAGAGCACGGATCATTCAACCCTGATCTTCAGTTATCGTTTTCAAGATCATTTGACAGATAGAAAAGAAAATATGAAAAGGTTCCACGAGGAAACTTTGAAATAATTCCTGGTTGATGTGTCCTATCACGGGGAAAAGGGGACTGGTACTACTGTATGTATTTAGAGTCTGTTTTAGAGCAAGCTGTGAGTGCTTAGAAAACATGTTATAAAAATCATTTAGAATGATAAAGACAAAGAACTAAGAACAACATGATTCATCTTTAAGTCCATCTCAAAGTGATACTTGTATGTTCTATAGATTGTAAAAATTATTTATACTGTCCAAAATATGAAACATACAAGTGTGAAAATGAATTTACAATCTGCAGGAATTCTTCCCCTCGTAAATAATTATGGACAGAACCCACGAGTACGTTATACAGGGTGAAACATAATATAGTCAAAAAAAAACCAAGATCTTTTTAATTTGAAGAAAATTGTACTCATTATACTATTGAGAAACATTGTTCAATAGTTTTTGAATTGTATAATACTCCTTCCGTCCCATTTTAAATTGCATGTTTGCCTTTTTTCTTCGTCCCAAAATAAATTGTCTGTTAGTTGTTTTCGTAAACTATTAAAAATAAAATACCTAAACTAGCTTTAAAATAAGTCATTCTTTTTCACCTTATCTTCTCATTTATCATCACCCCTCTTAAAAAGTAATGTCAATTTTGAAAAATCAACTCTATTTTTTATTTTCCTTAAATATGCCCAATTGTCAAAACGGGCGATTTAAATTGGAACGGAGGGAGTACTAGCATAAGTTTAATCATTAAAGAGTTGCAAAAAATTATTTTCGGTATAATTGTAGTATTAATAAACAAGGTTGCATAAAACATTTAAATGACTTAAATTAAATGAATTATGTATCATTTCATACAAAATTATATTTAAAGTTTCAAGGAATATCATTTTCAATAGCTTATATTTCATTATGATTATACGTAAAGTTAAGACAAAACATTACAGAGTATTTATAAGATTTTTTTTATCTAAGTCAGAATTCACTTATGATTAATTTTATGTAATTGTTTCGCAAGTTAGAGTAAAAGTAGGGATGAGTGTATTATTTTAAGTGTCTTTGAAAATCTTTATAACATCACAAAAAAAATGTTTTATACCTTAAATTTTTTGAAATGTTTAAATTTATAAAAGACTTCGACATTTATATTTCAAATGCGTGAAATTTTCATTGACAAATGTTATAATTCCTCCGTTCCAGTTTATAGTGCATATTTATTATTCACATAGTCAAATTTTATTCACTTTTTTCTCTATTTTCTTTAGCAATTTGATAAAATAAAGTATAATTGTCACTTCTAGTTTTGTAGATCTTCTGATGAGTACTTTAATATATAATTTTTTAGTTTTTAACTCTATACCGTTTGTCATATAAAATGATTTGAAAATAATTTCAGTTAAATATCGTAAACCAAAACAGACACTATAAATTAAGACGAAGGAAGTAATTGTTTCAGCTTTTAGGGTTGATGTTTTATTTGGTTTTATATTTAAAAACTGATGTCCGAATAAAAAATATAAAATAAAAAAAATTGTTTCACCTCGTGCAAGACACAAGTTAAAATACTAGTTCACCTAAAATACTCTTCCCAAAATCTTTCTTGTTTTGACTAGGGGTGGACACGGTACCAGTACGGTACAGTTACCAGCAATGGTACCGCCGGTACCAGCGACCGCCGGTCGGTAAGTCCCAACGGTTCCAGAAATCGGTACCGGTACCGCCCCCTCGGTACCGGTTCCGGTGCCAATTTTTTGGTACCGATATCGGTTCCGGTACCAAATTTAATTGTTTTTATTTCATGAATGTCCAAGTTCAACCAATGTCTACCTGCAAAAAAAGTTAGTAGGGTGGGGGGAATGGCTATAGAGCCGTTTGAGGTGGGGGTAGGAAAACATACTATAAATAAACTCTTTTTTAAAATGACTATTACTACAGTTGTTTTTTAGATGAAAACACATTAATTGACTATTATTACAGTTTTTTGTAGATGGAAATAATTATTACTACAACCATTTAATAGAATGCAAAAAAGAAAGAAATAGTGCTATTACTCTTTTTGAGGCTTTATTTAAGGAATTTCAAGGATATACGGTAATGTACCGGAAGAAACAACACCTCCTCCGCCCCCCAAATCAAAAAAAGGTTTTAAAAGAATAGTCGGTGTGTGTGCTTCTTGCAAGAAAAGGGAAGCGTGCTCAGCCTTCGACGAGTTTAGGTGGAACAACTCTAAGCTCGCACAACGAATTTGCCTTGGGGGTGTCATGCGATTACGACGACGACGACGACAAAGGGCTCTTCCAATACCTTTGGGAGTCCTAAACTTAAGGCATAAGTGTTCAAGGGACATAGCCCCTCCTAAATCCTCTAGTCCAGGCCTCCCTAGGATGGCATTGTGGGCACACTTGATATCGACCACCACAAAATCCATTCTCATATGCCTCACCTTTGGATGCTCGCCTATGATAACATCTAGCTTAATGGACCCTTTCGATTCGATTATGTCTCTGGTGAAATCGGATAGGGGCATATTATGCCTTGTGAGATCTTCCTTTCTGATTCCCAACTGATGGGCCACCTCCCAATACAACACATTGACGCTACTCGCGGTGTCCACCAATATTCTTTTAACATAAAGTTTGTGAATAGCCATAGAAATTACCATAGGCGTCCGATGAGGACTAGGAATGAGCGGCAAATCTTTGTCTGAGAAGACAATGGGCTCCCTTCTTCTTTTCTTGGCCACTTGTCCCACGTCAATGGACCCCACATGTAGCCTACGGGCCCATTCCTTCCTCTCCTTGTTTGTGACTCCCCGTTTCTGGACCGCATAAGATGACTCCTACTTGGGTGAATTTCTCCGGGTTCTCCAAGACTTGTTTTTGAGGTTGGGCGTCCCTACGCCAAACATTACCGCATAGGTTTGGTTCTCGGTTAGCATTCAGTTCCCTCTCTTTCATCTGCCCTTTCATCTTCTTGAGGAACATGCATTCCTCTGTGGCGTGTTCAGGCCTTCTATGGAAGTTGCAATATTTTTCTAGGTCGTAGGGTCACTGCTTTCTTTTTTGATCTCCATGTTTCCTCTTCTCTCCACCCCCCTCCTTGCTCTAAATTTCTGCCACCGGTGCGGCCAGCGGCTTAAGGGTAGGGATGGAGAGAGTGGTTGGCTTAGCTTTCTCGCATTTCTTCTCGTTGTCCGATCGTTTATGCAAGGCTCCTTCATTCTTACCTTTTAGGCATTCTGATTCTTCGGTGGCGCAAAACTTGTTGACCCTGGCCATCATAGCCTTGTAGGAAGTAGGAGTATCGTAATCTAACCTTCTGAACAACCTTCTGAACAATTCCCCTGATCTTAGAACACTCTTGAACAAAGCGATGTAAGTCTTATTTCCCATGGGCTCCACCTCATTGATTGCCTCATTCCACCTTTGCACCAACTCAGTGTTGGTTCCTTTTGCTTTAGGGAGAAAAGATGGGTGGCGTGCTTCTTTGGCTGGAACCTTTCTCCATAGGCATTGAGAAAGAGTTGAGCAAGATCTTTAAAGCAATCAATAGTCCCATTAGGAAGGGTGAGGAACCATTTTATTGCCGGTCCTTCTAAAGTCCCTACAAAAAGGCGACATTGGATTTCATCTTCTACCGCGTGCATCAACATGTGAGTTTGGTATGCGGCCAAGTGAGCGTTGGGATCAGTGACTCCTTTGTAACGTAACAGATTTCAGGGGCCTTTATACCCCTGGGCAGCTGAGCTTTCATCACCCTGGCAGTAAAGGGAGAAATTATTTCCACTGTGGGTCCAAAAGACCCATCTTTGTCAATATGCCTCTTTAGTTCCTCCATCTCTTTCCTCAATTTGAGGATATCTCTAGCATCTTCATTGCTAGGCCCCCCAAAATTTTCTCCAAATTCCTTAGCTCTAGGTCCCAGCCTCTCGGATGCATTTTTGCGCATCCTCTTTGTTGGCCATGTGTGCAGCAATTGTCCCGTGGCGGAGGCTATGTGGGCCAAGTCACAGTCGAATGTCGTGGGCGCTTGTGTTTTGACTGCACTATAAGGCTAGGGTATGCGTCTCTTCTAACACCAATTGGTTTTAAAAGAGTTGGTAGCGCCTGAGGTCCTACAAGTGGTATCAGAGCCAAGGTCACGAGTTCGATTCCCAGCGGGAGCAATTGCTGAGGGGGAGATTGTTGGCCATGTGTGCAGCAATTGTCCCGTGGCGGAGGCTATGTGGGCCAAGTCACAGTCGAATGTCGTGGGCGCTTGTGTGTTGAATGCACTATAAGGCTAGGGTATGCGCCTCTTCTAACACCAATTGGTTTTAGAAGAGTTGGTAGCGCCTGAGGTCCTACA